AGTCTCCTTTTCCTTTGTTTTTCTCTTTTTCTGCCTCATTTAAGAACTCTAGCCCAAGGGAAAAGGTCGAAACATTGTCTTCGTTTTCGGACTAGTAAGCCGAGTTTCTGTTTGTATCCATTATTGTCGCGAAATATATTATTTTTCCCGCGCTAACAATCGGCCGCTCGCGCGAAAAAAAAATTTGGGGCGAAGCGATTTGCTGACGCTGTCAGCGTGCACTATCGGGATTTTGAGCACGCTCACAAATATTGAATTTGATTGCGCGGTTCTGCTAGCTATGTTCTAAAAAACCGTTGTCACCGCAGGCAACAATAACAATTCGCGGAAATGATGCTACCCTACTTCCTCCCTTTTGATCAATTGATTTAACTTTCACCGCACCTCGGCGGTCCACACCGTTGTGGGCGTGAGTTAGACGAATGGTTAAGGTCAAGCCGGCTTTTCTTTTCGTTTGGAGGCCCTTACAGCCCCATTATTTGGTTTGTTACGCAAAGGAAGCTATCCACGCTTATAAATCTTCATACCCGTTATACCCATCTTAGAATTGAAGCAAATTACAAACATCATATAGATTGAGTAAAAATAATAAAATCACGCCTTTTCATTCCTTACTTTTATTAACTTTTTACGAGTACAGGCGATCGTCATTAAATGATTCTTTTGTCTATGATTTTTCCCACGGAAAATCCATTGTGTGTTTCGGACGGGCGTCATTTTGTCAAATGCGGTTGTTTTTCTTTCATTGACTGACAAATAATAAAATTGTGGGGGAAAATGGCGTTAAGTGGCACAATAGATTGCAAAAGATAACAAGTCTATTGTTATTTGCTAATGAACACGTTAGCTAACACTTTTCTTAATAGAATTCTTAATTGACTTTGAGCATGCCTGATTTGCAAATTTGAGTGAAATTGTTCTGTTATAGTAAATAAACATCTATAGAGAGAAAGAGCATTCACAACACTCAAGACTTTCTCAAAACTCGCTGTAACTGTTATTTGTTTCGATGTTTACAAAATGTTTCACCACATCTTCGCATGTCAAAGCCAGCCGGCGTTTTGATAAAAAAAAACCCCAGGGCATCAAGTGGTGAATTGAGACTTGTCCGAAGGATATTAAATTTCACAGATAAGGTCGCGCTCCCAAGCCTCAATACCACCATGAAAGCGTGTAATAAATGCAACAAGGCGATGATAGCACCTTTAATGTACTTTAGCTTCCATAATAAAACAATTTTGCTGACGAAACAGTTGCAACTCGTGCTTGTTTTTTCGGTCTCCCACTCTGACTGTCTGCGGACGTGCTTATGAGTTTCTGACGTTTCTCGGGAGACCCATTAATATTTCACTGTTATGTCACAATAAACAAATCAGATCAAGGCCGGACGGTTAGTTAGTCGGTGTCTTACGAGCTCAACCACGCACCATTGGCCGAGACTGAACATGGATTCATAGCCTTTAAAAGATGCTGATCACGCGGCAGGCGTTTGATTGCCCGAGAAGTAGCCTTTGTCAGAGAATGAGCAGTCCACTGGTGTCTTGTTAAGGCATCAGAGCGACTGTATTTTTGACCGCAACCTAACACAACACACGTAAATACTTTTTTCTCGGAATTTTGTAGATGTGTCTTTTGATGTTTGCTCAAATGATCTTTTCGTCCAAACGCCTTATTGCATATTTCGCACTTGTGAGGCCGAACACCGGTGTGAATGCGTTTGTGGCGCGTCAATTCCTCGTTGCGAGCGAATCGTCTATCGCAGCCATCAAAAGTACATTGAAAAGGCTTTTCTCCAGTGTGAATTCTTAAGTGACCTTGAAGCTGTCCGTTGTTGCTGCATCGTATGTCGCATAACGGGCAAGGGTATTTCTTCTTTCTTCCTTTTCCATTCAAGTTTGGGACACAAGCGTTCGATTTTTCGACCGATTCCTCCAGCAGTTGTAGGACGGACGCACCGGATTTAAAATGTTTGGTCGGTTGATCAGAATTTTGTGGCACGACACAAAGAGAAGGAATGACAGCCTGAGAATCAAAACTCATCGGAGACGCTTGGACATTAACAGGGGGTGGAGGCGTTGTAGTAAAAGCAGCAGCAAAGCCAAGCGGTCCTACTGGCTGCTTCCAAAGCGATGGCGAATTTCCAAGCTCGGGTGGACGAAAGATCTGTTGTAGAGTCGGCAGCGGAGGTGCGTGGAAAAGAATCGTTGGTTTGAAAACGCGAAATAAACCCAGATTGTTTTGTGTTGCTTGCATGATTCGAACAGCTCCAACAAGACACACGAAATGTGCTTTGCTTGACAAGATGGGATTGACACGGAGTTAGGTGGGGTGACAAACGACCAATCAGATGGCTCGTTGTCGGCCACACTGTAAATGGAGAAGATAAATTAAACCTTTCACGGCTGGGCGTGATAGGGGGCATGAGAGATTTTGAAGGGCCACCTTGTAGAATCAGTCTGAAAGGATGCTTTTATCGCAATGTTAGATCACAAAGTTTGCTTAATTCAAAGGAATGCCTCCTAGCAGATTACACAGATTGAGATAATCCAGCTTGGCAGAGAGCTTAAAGTCGCGTTTCGCTAATACATTCTTAGTTCTGCTTTGTATAAATATTTATCGGCACCTATCAAATATATTTCAAATGAAAACAACAAAAGAGTAAAACCTCAAACAACAGTGAACGATAAACACAACCCAGGAGGCGGGATCATTGAGTTAAAAAGAGAAATAACATGTCCTCGTAACAAAATAACAGTCGGACCGGTTTGTCCCAGAAACGCTAAATGGATTTATGATGTTGAAATCGGACGATTTATTTATGTTTGGTCAAAAATACCTCCTAGACAAGAAATGATATCAACTCGAGTTTGCGGGTGGAAAAAAGGTGATGATCCCTGAAATTCTCTGCGAAAACAGTAGTAGTTTTTCTTGTTCTTGGTGTATGGTCTGTTTTTCATCAGTCTAATACTATTAGCATATTTGTTCAATTCACACTTAAGGCTGTGTTAGGACTCACGCCCGCGCCGAACTGAATGAACCGATTACAAAGCAGTTCGGAATCTTCAACACCGGAAATTATTCGGGAAGCTCTGAGGTCAGGGTGGGCACTGAAAAATAAAAGGTCGATTACTTCCTGTTCAATTACACGCAACACACCCCTGGCGAAGGAAAATAGCGCAGATACCACGACGAAGAAATAGTAAAAACATCTGTCCTAGGACCTCCAATACTAGCGGTGTAACAACAGCAGTTGAGCCGAAGAAAAAAAAATAATCACTGTACCACAGGGAAAAAAGAAAAATCACTCAGTGCAAACGAATAAAGTCAAGATTATTTTTTCAAGTAGGTTTACTTCAATGGTTATGATAATGAAATTGGAAACCTTCGTCTCGCCTTTCGATCGTATGTTTTTTTACTTGTGAAAGAAATTCAACGCATTAGATGCGATAAGGAATAGCAAATATTTCGGTATGCAAACGCTAATAAAGAGGCCGGGTTATAAACGGCAAAATCAGTATTTTATCAATTACGGAGCAGTCACAGTTTACGCTGATTAATTAAAAAAATATTTCCCCTTTTACGAGTGGGCAGTATTTCAGCTGAGCCAAGTATTCTCAAACCGGCGCCGGGACCCGTATGCCGGGCCGAGGCCGAGGGGCGTGGGTGCACCAACACTTCCCACGGGTTACCGAGCTGAGGGCATAAGTGGGACTTTACGATCTTCCTTCAAGTTCCTGAAAGAAATGCTTTTTGAAACGCCTCTACTTAGTAGTCACAGGGTTATTTTAACTGATGATCAGAAGTTTCACCTCAAAGGGGTCATGGCGTATCCACATTTAGTTGTAGGTCCTGCTTAGCAAGTTAATTCTCCCCAAAGTCACAATGACATCACCAACTGCGAAAAGATAGTGCTTGTCTCTGGATCGTTTTGAAGTAATTTAAAGATTTTAAGAATGATGGATTTAACTGAGTGGTTGTGAGGGTGAAACGTGAGAGTGAATGGAATGCGGTGGAATCTTCCTTTTGAGACGTTTGTAGTGCTGAATGTCGATCAATAAGTTGGGCGCGGTGGTAACCCGCTTGAACGACAGAAACAGGGTAACCACGTTTATCGAAAAACTGGCACATTGACTCTGATTTGTGGTGGAAATCAGAGTCATCACTACATAAACGACGAAGTCTTAGAAACTGAGAAAAAGGAATGGAATTCTTAACGTGAGATGGATGCGAAGATGTNTGTTTTTCTCGTTGCCATGTTCCCACCAATAACGTAGCTCCATTTTCTGCCTTTAAAAGCACACACAACCCACAATTCCTCTATTCGCTCCGACGAAGGGCTAACGCTCGAAACGTCAGCTTTTGTAATCGTTACGGTGGCCAATTTACCATTTCAACTTTGTTGATATATCCAAATTATTTCGTTACCCCCACCGACGCAGCCCCAAACAGTTTCTTTAGAAACCATCAGCCTTTATATTCTTTATTTAGCAGTTTCAGCAGAGTAAAACCCAGACAGATCAGAAATCTTCCCATATCTCACATGATCATGATCTCAACTGAGCTTCCCTTTATTAAAGCTGCCAGAGTTTTCGCACAACCAGATTAGGATCACTCTGGGCGATAAAATGAAGTCCAAGGTTCCAGGATGAAGAGAAAGCGAAAGGAGTTTCATTTCTTTCACTTTTGTTCGAGCCCTGAAGGAAAAAACTACTAAACGTCCGGGTTCTGTTCTATCTTGTCCTATCTTGCTTACATGTGCAACAGCGTTTTCGTTCAGCTTAGTCGAATGATAATAAAAATTGTGGGTTTAAATGGTAGGTAACCCTCTTTGGAATGTGCCGTAGAGATTTCCTTTGACCGGAATGTACTTTAAAACAGCACAAGCTACTCTGGTGTTAAAACCTATTTATATCTTTTCGCCCAGTCACGGTTATCCTTTAGGTCACAAGCCAGAATAGACAGATCAACAGGTCATCGTCTTCCTGGGGATGATCGGCCACCATGGTGAAGCCAAGAGGAATCGTATATCTCTTTAATTTGATCGGAGAACTTTAAGTCAATAGATTATTTGCTTAGCCTTGAAAAAATTGTCTTAGTGCCTGTCAGATGTAACGGAAACTGATCAAAAGCGCCTTATTAAGCTCAATACACGTAATTGGATATAGCCATCCGGGCCCCATGCCTTCGCTAATTTCGTGCAGCTTTCAAATGTTCTTATCCCTTCGCCTCTCTATGCGGCATAGAGCATCCACAGTCTTCCCTCTCTCCTACCAATGCTGAGTTCCTAATTCTGTTTCTTTCCATCGTGACCTTATTTACCTCACTGCATTTCGGTTGACCCCTTCCAGTTGTTTGTTTGTTTGTTTTTTTAACCTTCTTCGTTTTCGTTTCCCCTGTAAGAAGACCTGTTTGTTTTTGTGTGGTTCTTATGGTGATTGTTGGTTTGATGTGGTTTTGGCCCTGCATTCTCCTCATTTTTGACCCAACTGCATTGCAATTATTTGACTAATTCCCTGGGTCGGGACTCTCCTCTCTGAATCACAGCTAGTTCAAGTGCAGTGAGATCCAGGAGGGTTTAGTAAGAGCTCGAATTGCTCTGCATGTCGACATGTCTCGGATGCTCCACATCAGTATACTTAGACCCTGATAATTTAGCTTTCCTCAAACATCAGTTAAGAAACATCATTACAAAAACAAGATGGAGTCACTATGGCTATGGAAAGGACAACCTTCACTGAAAAATCTTGGCGGTGTACGTTTAGGTTAAGCATTAAGCCAACCCACTACGTTAAGGACAGTGGGCAGACTGGACATTTAAAAGCACACTTAATGACGCCTCCGTTGCCATCATTTTACCCTTCTCCTTTCGTCTCTGTCCCCTAATCGCACAGTCGATTTTCCAGGGGTCAGATAAAAACAATATCAGTCACAGACCCTGACTGTCTCTTCCCCAAAGAACTATCAAAGAGAAATATAAGGATCGACTTTTTCCTTGTCACCCTTACCGATGGCCATTCCACTTTGTAATAGCTCATCTTCGAATTTCACAAAAAGATTATAAGTTTTCTTCTTTTGCAAGAACACCGCCCTTTTTAGTAAAGCCGATTGCTTTTGTCTATTTGATCCCACGCCAAGCACCAACAGGATAAGCACCTTTTGGTTGTTTACTTAAACATCCAAACCGAATAAACTTGTTATAATCATTAAAACATAGGAAACGCAAAGGAAACGGAAGTTCAGTCACGAATATACTGCAACTAGTCTTACTATATTTGAGCTTTAATCACTGAGTTTCGAGGTCTGGGTTCTAGGTCTGATTCGGTCACCAGTCTACACACCTCTCGTCAATCTTGCCTCGAACCCGGATGAATTTTTCTGTACGCAGAATCTCTCAACCAAAATGTCCAAGTACAGTTGCACTTTTTTGGATAAATGTCTCGAAGGCCAAAACTAAATGAAAAAAGGAGGGATTTTTTTACAATCTAATAAGCGTAAAATAAGATATACGCCCCAAATTTTATCCCTTCGCTGTGATCTTGTAAGTAGTTGGATCACTGACAGAGTCCGATTGGCCCTCGGCGATTCCTTTCAGTGTGTATCTCGAATCAACCACACACTGATACCTCAGCCACGAAGTAAACCGACTTATGATCGCGCACCTCTTTTTGATAGCTTCAAAGAGGAAAAAATTGTTCTTCCTAGTATTTTTATAGGTAAAAAACAAGAGATAAGAATGGGAACTCCCCTTCAACTATTTAAGCGTGGAACAACTTGTGGTCAGTTCGGGTAAAACCACCGGAAGTCACGAAAATTTCTACACAGATCTTCGCTGATACTGCATGTTCTAACTAAGACTTAAAACTGGAAAAGGTTACAACATCGTCCAAAGGAAAAGTTCATTATAAAGAATTAACTTGAATAAAACTCTGTTCTGTTCAGAATCCGCATCTTCTGTAACCATAGGAATTTCAACGGTCGAGTGAGAGAACCTTAGAAGAGCGATGATTAGGTCACAACCTCGTTAAATAACTTATATCAAGCACGAGATTAAACTATAATTGGCTTTTAAGCAGTTTATTCAAACCCGTCCACGAAATTCTGAACATAAGGCATGTGCGGTTTCCAGTTTAAGAGACTCAGTCACTTGGTTTTTGCGACGAACGGAAAGATTTGCGGTTCGTGCACCTTGCACTTTTGTTCTTTCCTCCTCCACTCCATGCAGTTTGCATTGTTAGCTCACAAACTGAAGTTGTGCATCATAGAACTCATTTACCAGGCTTAAGCCCTCTTTGAAAGTGCACGTTCTTGATAGCGACAGAGAAACTGCTTGCATCTACCTGTATGTGATGGGGTACTTGGCAAGCGTCAGTGACGGATCAAGGGGAGGGGAGGGGAGGGGAGGGGACCCCTCTCCCATCTACCTGTATGCCAGACCTTGGGGTATTTTTACTCCTTGCCTGTCACCAAAATTCTTGCAACGACAGCAACGCAAGTTACTCTTCAATAGGAAATATCTAAAATTAACTTTTCTTGCAATTTTCATTGGTTTAGATTGGCTATATTATGCAAGAACTTCTTTTCTTTTTCCAATTTTTTTTCTTTAACTTGAGTTTACCCCCCCCCCCCCCAATAAATTTTTAGATCAGACCCTCATGAAAAGGACAGCTGAGGTCAGAATTTCTAAAAACTGGCACATGCACCACGTTATTGTAAAAATTGACGCAACACACATTTTCCTCGCGTATACTCACCGAAAATAGCAATCGTGAAAGCAACTAGCTGGTTTTTTTATTTCTTGTGTTATCTCTTCTTCTGTTTACCTTCGAATGCTTTTCGTGCTTGGCACATTACCGAGAAGGAACTCGGTCGGTAATCTCATTTACCCATTTCAAACTGCAGACTTTTTTAAAGGCCAAACAGTTTGAACCACAGAATGGAATCATTCAAATTGAATTCAGTGGAAAATCGAGAATAGTCGCTTCCGTCACCCCTACCTGTAGATTTTTCAACTAACTTTTAACCCTTGCAATAGCAGAAATGGGAAACTCAAAATACATTGAACGCGTTCACAATACACCCTCAATGCGAATTATGGACTTCTGATGCCGATCCCACCGACGTTTGCAATTATCTCATTAACATCATCACTTACCCCCCTTCGAAAAGAATCCGCCAAAGAGCAACTTTCTTTCCGCTCAACCTCAAAGGCTTCAGTTGCAACGTTGTAAATCCAATTTCTCAAGGACACTCTACTGGAAAATTCTATCCAATTAGAAAGACTGGATAAAAGTATGCGACTTCGATGCTACTTTTTCTTCGCTTTTGGCCGCCCGAAATTATTGTTTTTTCGCAGTTAAGCACGAAGTAAGGTATGGGGATGACTTACGACATTTTCGATCTTATCTAAAGAAGCAAGTAGTATAAACAGAGCATGCGTGACCAAAAGGAGGCATAAGACGATATGAAGTTCAACGTAGGGTAACTGTAGTCGGTGTTTTGACGAGAGGTTGGACAAGTAGGCATACCGAAACCGCAAATTCGAAAGGCCTTTGGTGCGAAAAGACACCGCTTGGTGGGCCCTCGCCCAAACATCACACCCTCTCTTGTTTAAGTCTCTTCTCTTTTTAACCCCGGAAAACAAAGTGCGAGCAGTCTATGTTTAACTTGTCCTGCTAGAAAAGAGGAATGGCAATCTTCAATTGAATGTCTAAATTAATCGGAGTTTCCATTCGTTTTACTTTACCGCCTTAGATGTATGTGATTGGTTCCAAGAAATTTCAAGTAACGTTAGTCCCTCTCAAATCAGTTAAACCAATAAGATACAGCACTAAAACCAACTTCACTTGTTGTACGTTCGTTCGCATGTTAATATATATATATATTTTCAGGTCGATTACATATCCTCCCGTTGTTTTAATTGGATGTTGTATGACTTTGGTTTCGCTCACAGCATCGCAACAGTAAGTCAAAACTGAACGTGCTCTAATAACAATGACGATTCTTCTATCTCTCAGCTAGTACGTGCGCGAGCGGGCCCGTCGTATTTCACTGTAGGACTCGCAAAATTGAAAAGTCAGTTTGGAATTGAAATATCCCCCTTCTATTTGAAAACAGAGCTGTAAGAAAATTTTTTTCATTCTAATAACTCGGTTTCCATCCGTATTATAACTTACAGAGCCTGGTGTTTTTCCGTTCGAATTTTTGACCGAAGAGCGAAGCGCGCAGGCAAGAATATCCGCGCTGAAAAAACATGGTCCGTAACGTACAGTACCTCGAACTAGGTATCAAAGTTACTTCGGGAAGCAACAAACTGAATTTGCATCAAAATCATCCGAAGGATTTCCACTAAATAGCACTATCTCTTAATCCACCAGTGTCATCCATTCCAACTTGTTTCAAATTCATGTTTGAGTTTCTGATGCATTTTATAATTTGCTCTAATGTTCAAAGCAGTTCTAACTTAAGTACCATGTCTTTATTGACCCTTCCAAGGCTTGACTTTGAAAACTTGTTTATAACCATATACTTATGACAAGTGGCTTATGACCTCTTGGTACCTTTTCTTTGAGTTATATGTGGCCACAAAAACTAACACTATTAATTAGGTATTCAACAAATATGAACACCAAAGGAATCTGACTTTGAGTTAAAATATATATGTGGAGTATAGAGAAATATAGCCATCAGACCATGTACCATAATGATAGCAGCCATGTTAAGCATCAGGTTAAAGTGCACATTGACCTAAATCCAATCCTCATTTGCAACACCCATGAGGTTGGGGTTCCTCATATTCTGCCTGGAAAAGGTTTCCTGCCACAGGGTTACCAAGGTTGTACTTGGCAGCCATCTCACGAGCATTTCTTCTGGAACGCTCAAAGCCAGGCCTAAAAATTATGCAAGATGGAGTATGATGAACTTCAAAAAGCTACTTTATAGTGAAAAGACAAGAAGGGAAGATTGAAATTCAGAAGAAAGGAATCCTTTAATCTTTCTGAAGTTCAAATAGAACATGTATTAGAACATTTTAAAAGTCTATATTTCGAAGCCATGGTTACAATTAAAACTGGAATTTGACACAATCATGCACCTGACACTAATTCTTTCAGCAATACTTAATTTTCAGTTTGGCTTCAAATTTTCACTGATTTATACTTTGGAGAGCTCACGATTAAGTTTGCAGAAATTTTATAAATATTTTGAAGGCACATGAAAACAATCTTAATGCTTGGTATACATTACCTTATTGCAGGGCAGGATTAAAAGCAATGACTGAAATTTCAACAAAGAAAAGAAAAAAAACCATGTTACCAAATAAATACTTACTGGCTGCATACAGCTTGATCAATGTAGTTGATTTTGCCAGGTTGTTTGTACACTAGGAAGGTGTAGCGGTGTAGCTTTGTTCCTTTTGGTGGTTCAGAGCCCATATACTCCATTTTTACTTCTCCTTTGCTAATAACACAACCAGGGATGTTCACAACAATCCAGTGGTGCCATTCACGGAGCTTTGGTTCTGCACGACAAGGTGCATCAGGATCTGCCGGACATTGTTAAAATAAATTTATAAACTTCAATACTGATATTCCTTTTTATGGGTTCATGTAATTTAGGTCAAGTTATGGAGAGATAAGGCTGCTTCAATAATGTTCCTCTGTTATAATGCATACCCAGTTCAAGAGTTGTCCTTCATTCTTCCACAGAGGAGTCATGTAACCTGTTCAAGCTATTTCTTTCTTGTAAGACTTCACAAGGAGTCATTTTACAAGCCTTAGTTTACTTACAGATTATAAAAGACTCCCTAACTATGTAAAAGATTATAAAAAGACTCCCTAACTATGTCCTGGTTGAAGTTGCAGTTAAGTTCACAGAGTGGTTCAGAGTTAGAGTGCCGTTTCAGAGTTGCTATGGGTTCTGTAGCCTTGGTGACAAGGTAAAAAGTGGTTGCTTAGATATCAGCCATGTTAGGGAAAGGAATGCTAAAAAATTGTACTCAGAAGTTTTAACTTAAAAGTAACAATTATCACATCACTACATCAAATAAAACCCACCAGTCATTAGAAGGGTGTACAATGCCCCTTCTTCAACAGGCCATGAAACTGATGTTGGAGGGTCTTTCACCTGAAAGGAAAGAACATTGAGGAGTGTAAAAGCATTAATTGTTTTATCTCAAGCTCTTAAATTTTGCCAAAATACTTTTTTTGCAGATTTAGGGTTCAAGGTAATATGTAGGGGTATTTCAAAATTAGATTCGCTACCAGCTATTAATCAAATCTTTGCATAATTCAATATTGAAAAAGGTCAGAGTAGAGTCTGTTATTTTGGATTTCCTCCTCGAGAATTTCCACCTCCTGGTTAGCTCAATTGGGTAAGCGCCGGACTGTTGTGCGGGAGGTCAAGGGTTTGAGCCCCAGCCAGACCAACACTCAGGGTCTTAAAATAATTGAGAAGAATATGCTACCTTTCTATAACATCAATCAAGAAATGGTTAGATATTCTAGTCTTCTCGGATAGGGACGAATAAATGGAGGTCCTGTCTCCTGCAGCTATTAATTAGGTTAGGCAGGGGATGTTAAAGAACCTACTTCATGAGATTACTGTGATGTGATCTGGCCTGGTTACTGGGAATTAGGGGGGAGGGGGCATCTGTTATATTCGCTTTCATTTGATTGTAAACTGCTTAGCAGTCTGGTAAAGTTCCCCGTACAGTGTTGTAAAGCGCCATGAGTTTAAGATAGGAGCGCTCTATAAATACAAGTTATTATTATATTATTATTATTATAAGTTTCTTCACTCAGATGTCCTTATCAATAAATTAAGGAAATTGATTCAACAGCTCTCAAGAATCATCTCTTTAACTCTTGCTTTAGGGGAAGACATCTAGGTTCCTCATTAAGGTTGGTTTCTGATTGGACAGGCTCTTTTGGAATTTTCATTTCCTTAACCCTTTACACCCTAAGCCCATTATGCATATTCTTCATACTGTTTGTCACACATTTCCAAAGGTGTTAACAAGGAATAATAATAATAATAATAATAATAATAATAATAATAATAACAATAACACCTTTATTTAGACACAATAACGTTTAAAGCTGAACA